TTTCCCAATTAGTTGGTTGTCTTTCTAGCTTAGTTGCGATAGATTTAGCTGTGCAGAAGCTTTTTATTTTAAGGTAGTCCCATTTGTCGAGTCTCTCTCCAACTTGTTGTGACCCTGGGTCTCTGTTCAGGAAGTTCCTTCCTGTGCCTATTAGTTCAAGTGTCTCTCCTACTCTGTCCTGCAGTAGTTTCAAAGATTCAGGTTTAATGTTAAGGTCTTTAATCCATTTTGAGTTGATGTTGGTGCATGGTGATAGGCTGGGGTCCACTTTTAGTTTTCTGCATGTGGCTGCCCAGTTTTCGCAGCACCAGCGGTTGAAGAGGCTGTGTTTCTTCCATTGTATGTCTTTGGCTCCTTTGTCGAATATCAGCTGGCTGTAGGCCTGTGGATTTATATCTGGATCTTCTATTCTGTTCCATTGGTCTTCGGGTCTGTTTTTGTGCCAGTACCATGCTGTCTTTGTTATTATAGCTCTGTAGTAGAGTCTGAAGTTCGGCATGGATAGCCCTCCCATATTGTCTTTATCCCCTAGAATTGTTTTGGCTATTCTAGGTCTTTTGTTGTTCCATATAAATTTTTGGACTGTTTTCTGTATTTCAGTGATGTACGTCATTGGGATTTTAATAGGAATTGCATTGAATTTGTATATTAGTTTTGGAAGTATCACCATCTTTACTATATTAAGTCGGCCTATCCAGGAGCATGGGAGGTCTTTCCATTTCCTAGTGTCTTCTGCAATTTCTTTCTTTAACTTTTTATAGTTCTCATTAAATAGTTCGCTATTATTTTTTTATTTGTGCAAATACACAATATTTGAACTGAGGGCACTGACACTGTTTTCCTTGGGGTTTTTTTGCTCAAGGCTGGTACTCTACCACTTGAACCACAACTCTACTTTGGGCTTTTTTTTTTTTTGGCTCGTTTACTGGAGGATTAAGGGTTTCACAGGCCCACTAGCACCAGTGGCTCACGCCTGTAATCCTAGCTACTCAAGAGGCTGAGATTTGAGGATCACAGTTCAAAGCCAGCCTGATATGAGACTCTTATCTTCAATTTACCACCAGAAAACTGCATGTGGCACTGTAGCACAAGGTGGTAGAGTACTAGGCTTGAACAAAAGAGCTCAGGGACAGGACTGAGTTCAAGTTTCATGACCGATTTAAAAAGAAAAATTCTTACAGACTTTTCTACCTGGGCTAGTTTTGAACTTTATCTCTGGATCTCTGCCTCCTGAGTAATTAGGATTGTAGGTATGTGCCACCAGCATCCAGCTTTTTAAAAGAAATTTAAGATAGGGTTTCCCTATACAGTCTAAGGTGACCGTTGAATTGAGATTCCCCCTGCCAAGGGTTGGTATTATAGGAGTATGCCACTATGCCTGGCTTCCTTTTTTTTTTTTTGGTTGGCTGTGGGGCTTGAACTCTGGGCCTGGGCACTGTCTCTGAGCCTTGCTGTGATCTAGACTAGCACTCTACCACTTGAGACACAGCACCACTTCTGGTATTCTGGTGGTTAAGTGGAGATGAGTCTCACTGAGTTTCCTGCCCAGGCTGGCTTTGAACTGTGATCCTCAGATCTTAGCCTCCTGAGTAGCTAGGATTACAGGTGTGAGCCACAGTACTAGGCTGACTTCCTCCTTTTGAATGACAAGGCACACAGAGGTTTCCTCTCAACATTGCAGGACTGTTATAAATGAATCTTCTGTAATTCTCTTGCCTTCACTCCAAAACAATCTGACAAAGCCTTTCAGCCCCACTTCCAAAGCACCTAGAACCCAGCCACCATGCATCACCTGCGCTGTGTCACACCTATCCTCAGTCACCTACATCACCTTGTTACTCCTACCCAGCCTTCTCCACCTACTCTCAGACCAAGATTCATTGCACAGCCAAACCATTCTGACTTCCCAGTTAGTTTTGTTGTTGTCATTTTAGAATCAACTAGTTCTACAAGGGGAGGACTTGAGGGAGCTAATGGAAATTACAACCACCAGCATCAGCTTTTCCACAACCCCTCTCCACCATTCCCCCAGACCTCTAGAACCAGCAACTTACCTGATTCCATGTAGCAAAATTGACTTTATCAGCTGCATTGAAAGCCATTATGTTATATTTTTTCGTGGTGTTCCTAAACAATAAAGGGTAATATTAAATCAATGCAGGGCTGGGAAGGTGGCTCAGTGGTAGAGTGCTTGCTTAGCATGCATGAAGCCCTGGGTTTGATCCCTCAATGCCACATAAACAGAAAAAGCCAGAAGTGGTGCTGTAGCTCAAGTGGTAGAGAGCTAGCTTTGAGGAAAAGAAGCTCAGGGACAGTGTTCAGGCCCAGAGTTCAAGCCCCAGGCGCAGCAAAAAAATAAACCCATCATTCATTCAACAAACCTACTCTGGCCCAGCCCTTTGTGCTGGGCACAGCTGAAGTCTCATAAAAGCCTCTAGGGATTGGGTGTTGGTGGCTCATGGTTGTAATCCTAGCTCTCAAGAGGCTGACCCCTTGAGGATCATGGTGGGAAGCTACCTGGGCAGAAACGTCCATTAAACTTTTTTTTTTTTTTTTGGTTGGTGATGAGGCTTGAACTCTGGGCCTGGGCACTGTCCCTCAGCTCTAAGCAAGCACTCTACCACTTCAGCCACAGTGCTACTTCCAGTTTTCTGATTGGTTTATTGGAGATAAGAATCTCACATACTTTTCCTGCCTGGACTGGCTTTGAACAGTGATCCTCAGATCTCAGCCTCCTAGGTAGCTAGGATTATATGCGATGAGACACTGGCACTCGGCTCCACGAAACTCTAATCTCCAATAAACTACTCAGAAAAATTGAGACTTGGCACTGTGGCTGAAGTGGTGGAACACTTGCCTTGAGCAAAAGAGCTCAGACTGGCACTGGTGGCTCATGCCAGTTATCCAAAGTCAGCCTGGGCAGAAAAGATCCGTGAGACTCATCTCCAATTACTTTCCACCAGAAGAGGTGCTGTGCTCAAGTGGTAGAGTGCTAGCCTTGAGCTGACTCAGGGACAGCGCCCAGACCCTGAGTTCAAGCTCCAAGACTGGCACCAAAAATAAATAAATAAATAAATAAAGCCCTGGGCTTGGAAGGTGGCTCAATGGTAGGTGGCTCAATGGTAAGAGCACTTGCCTTGCATGCCTGAGGCCCTGGGTTCGATTCCTCAGCACCACACAAGCAAAAAGAAAAAGAAAAAAGCCGGAAGTGGCGCTGTAGCTCAAGTGGTAGAGTGCTAGCCTTGAGCTGAAGAGCTGAGGGACAGCGCCCAGGCCCAGAGTTCAGGCCCCACGACCGGACCCAAAAAATAAATAAATAGGGCTGGGAAGGTGGCTCAGTGGTAGAGCGCTTGCCTTGCATGCCTGAGGCCCTGGGTTTGATTCCTCAGCACCACATAAGCAAAAAGAAAAAAGCCGGAAGTGGCGCTGTGGCTCAAGTGGTAGAGCGCTAGCCTTGAGCTGAACAGCTGAGGGACAGTGCCCAGACCCAGAGTTCAGGCCCCACAAGTGGACCCAAATAAATAAATAAATAAATAAAGCCCTTTAGGGATTCTGTTTGTTAGGGAACCCAGAAGAGGAGAAAGACAAAGCCTTTGGGAAACACAAGATGGGAGGACAAGGGGGAACTTGGCTCAGGGTTGTGGAAGAAAACACTGCAACTGAGTATTACAGGAGCCCCAAAATCCAACTTGCAGAGTCATAGCGTAGGGGGACGGCAGCACGTCCTGACCGGGGGCACAGCACGACCAAAGTCCGATCTGCTGGAAGCAGGACGCGAACGACGGCTGGTGACTGGCGAGCTGTGACAGTTGCCTAACTGGCCAGAGGAGCCCGTGGGGCTCCAGTGTGAGGCGCGGGGTCTGGTGAAGAGCGGGCCAACTCCACGGCTGCCCTCCCTCCGAGCTGGCCGGGGCGACCCCCAGCCCAGCCCGGCTCCCCCTGGCCGCGCGGCCGTGCCGCCGGGCACTTACTTGGGCACGCGGACGACGTACTCGGTGACGCTCTGGCTGCCGGGGCCCTGCGGAGAGAGGCAGACACGGTGATGGGCCGGGGGTCCCCGAGGCCGCCGCCGCCGGGACCCCGAGCCCGCCCCGGGGACACTCACTAGCGCCGCCATGACTAGCGAGCAGATGCTTCTCGTCCTCAAGGGAGTCTGTGTCTCTCCGTGCCCTAGCCACCGTCCCCTCGGGACCCGAGCACCGGGCACCAGCCGACCCACTCCGAGGGGGACTAAAAAGAAACTACCCGGAAGCTGGGCGCCGAAGCTCCTTTTGCGCCTGCGCATGACCCGGAAGTTAACGCCTCACGGGCCGCGTCGCCATAGCAACCGTCTCCGTGGTGGCGGGTACCAAGAGCCGTCACTTGGCCATTTCGATTCCTTTCCCGCCCCTCCTCCTCCCCCCCCCCCCCCCCCCCCCCCGTCCCTTGGCGCATCCAGAACGAGTATGAGATAAACGAAACACCTTCTTTATGAGTGGGACGCTCTTATACACGCGGAGAGTTTAGTTCCTAACGCATGGGGACGCCGTCCTCGGGACGACAGCTCGCAGGGACCGCGGGGCATCCTGGGTCGTGGGGGAGCCGGGATGAAGATTCCTCCTCGTGGGCGCCCGGGAGCGAGTTCGCGCATGCGCCTCACCGCTTTCCAGCCGTGGGTGCGGAGGCCGCGTCACCATAGCAACCGAGGCCTACCGCTTTGCCTGGTGGTCCGGCTGGGGTTTATTTTCTTCCCCAGCATCTCTAGCACCCGGCAGAATGAGTAGGGTGGGGCTCAAGCCTGGAATCCTAGCTGCTCTGGAGCCTGAGATCCGAGCATCACGGTTCCAAGTCAGCCTGGGCTGGAAAGTTCTTGAGACTCTTGACTCCAATTAGCCAGCAAAAAGCCGTGACTCCAGTGGCCCTTAGTTCAAGGCCCGGGACCGTTACAAGAAAACAAAACAAACAAACAAAAAAGCCTGAGGTGGGGACTATTGTGACATGGAGCAGATCCTCTGGAGAAGTCAGGGCCTGGTGGAGATGGCTTGGGACCACGCCCAGGGCTGCTGGCCTGATGGGTCTGTGCACTTCCAAGCTGCCCCACATGGGCAGACCCTTGAAGCCCCAGGAGAAGGGTAATGTGGTGGGAGTGGCTGGCAGGTATCCCCTCCATCTAGGTATGTGCACAGCCCCACAATTGTGCTTGCTGCTGCTTCTGCCTGTCATTAATTAGGTTGGACCCAGTTGAGCACCTGCTGCTTTCTGGGCCCTCAAATCAGCTCTCTAATTTCTTGAAGATTACAGTGTAGCAGAGACAGTCAGAAAACGAGATCTGTATCTCATTAGGGTTCAGGAGAAGTGCAGTGGGCTCTGAGGGCATAAGGAAGAAGCAAAGGGGCTGGGAAGGTGGCTCAGTGGTAGAGTGCTTGCCTTGCATGCATGAGGCCCTGGGTTTGATTCCTCAGCACCACATAAGCAGAAAAAGATGGAAGTGGCACTGTGGCTCAAGTGGTAGAGCTCTAGCTTTGAGCTGAAGAGCTGAGGGACAGTGCCAGACCCAGAGTTCAGGCCCCACAACCAGAAAAAAAAAAGGAGAAGGAAGAGGCTTCATTAGGCATGAAGGGATGCATAGGAGTTGGCATAGACTCAACAAAGAGAAAAGGAACCAAGACACAAATATTGGGCCATGAAATACTCCCAGCAGTGACATTTATCCCCCTTTCAGGCACATAGATGACTGAGAAATAGTCCTAGTCCTGGCCCTCTTGGGTTTCAGAGTTCTGAGACAGAGTAAGAGCACAGGATAGCCGGGCGCCAGTAGCTCACACCACCATCCTAGCTACTCAGGAGGCTGAGATCTAAGGATCATGGTTCAGAGCCAGCCAGGGCAGAAAAGACGGTGAGTCATCGCCAATAAATACTCAGAAAATGCTATTAGTAGCACTGTTGCTCAAGCAGTAGAGTCCTCCCCTTGAGCAAAAGAAGCTCATGGACAGAGCCCAGGCCTTGAGTTAAAGCCCCAAGTTAAAGCCCTAGGACAAGGAAAGAAAAAAAAGAAAAAGAAAGAAAGAAAGAGGCCAAGCAGAGGATACACAGAGATGGCACCAACAGAGAAAGGAAGAAACAGGCATGCAGGGATTTCCCTGGTGTAGAGAAAACACCAAGAGAAGACTGAGGATTGAGTTTGGCAAGTTCAGGAACAGGACGAACACCACGGGGGAGAAGGAGGGCGGTCTAGATGCACGCTAGCCTGTGGATGGGGTTCCATCAGGATCAGGCGCTTCCCCCCCCTCCTTCTTCCCCTCCCTCAACACCACAGACATCCTCAAGTCCCCCCTGATTATCTTCGTGGTGGGTGGCCCAGGCTGTGGGAAAGGAACCCAGTGCAAGAATATGGCCATCAAATATGGCTTCAGCCATGTGGGACTGGGCCAGCTTCTGAGGCAGGAAGCCCAAAAAAGCACCCAACAGGGCCGGCAGATCCGTGACATCATGATGAAGGGGCTTCTGGTGCCCACGGTGAGTCACAGGCAACGGGGGAGATGGGTGGCGGGTTGGAAAGGCCAGGGCTCTGTACTTTACCATGGAGTTGCACCATGCTTCTTTTTTCTTACTGGAAAAGAAAAGATCACTTCCAAAGGCTACAATATAAAAACTGGACACGGTAGTACACATTCGTAATCCCAGAATCTGGGAAGTAAAAGTAGGAGAACCTCAAGTTCTAGTACAGCTTGGGTTACAGAAGGAGAGCCTGTCTGTAAAATAAATGAATGTATAGCACTTTTTGTTGTTGTTGATCATTGGGGCTTCAACTCAAGGCCTGGTGCTGTCCCTGAACTTTTTTTTTTTTTTTTTTGGCCGGTTGTAGGGCTTGAACTCTGGGCCTAGGCACAGTCCCTCAGCTCTTCAGCTCAAGGCTAGCACTCTACCAAATGAGCCACAGTGCCACTTCCGGTTTTCTGAGTGGTTTATTGGAGATAAGAGTCTCAGGGACTTTCCTGCCCCAGCTGGCTTTGAACTGTGATCCTCAGATCTCAGCCTCCTAAGTAGGTAGGCATGAGCCACCAGCACCCAGATAATTCTGGCTTTTCCTATTTATGTGGTGCCGAGGAATCAAAAACCAGGGCCTCACGCATGCAAAACAAGTACTCTATCACTAAGCCACCTTCCCAGCCCCTCCCTGAGCTTTCTTACTCGACTATTGTTCTACCATTTTGAACCACAGCGCCACTTCCAGTTTTCTGGTGGTTTATTGGAGATAAGTCTCATGGACTTTCCTGTCTACGCTGGCTTTGAGCCATGATCCTCAGATCTTAAACTCTTGAATAGTTCGGATAACAGATATGAGCCACCAGTGTCCGGCTTGCCCTGGGCCTGGGCACTGTCCCTGGACTTCTACCACTTGAGCTACAGCTCTGTTTCTGACTTTTTGATAATTTATCAGAGCTAAAGAATCTCATGAACTTTCCTGGATGGACTGGCTTCAAACTATGATTCTCAAATGTCAGTGTCCTGAGTAGCTAGGATTACAGGAGTGAATCACCTGCACTAGCTTATAAATAGCTTTTTAGTTTTGTTTTTTTTAATTAGCTGGTAGAATCAGCTCTCCAGATCCCCAGAGCTTATCTATCTATTCTAGCTAGCTAGCTAGATAGCTATCTAGCTAACTAGCTATCGATTTATCCAATAGAAGGAGGCTGAGATCTGAGGATCACGGTTCAAAGCCAGACCCAGCAGGAAAAGTCCATGAGACTCTTATCTCCAATAAACCACACAGAAAACCAGAAGTGGGATTGTGGCTCAAGTGGTAGAGCACTCACCTTGAGCTGAGGAGCTGAGGGACAGCGCCCAGGCCCAGAATCCCTTGTTACCCCTGAACAATGCCATATTAACTATCCAGCAGAACCCAGCATGGACATGGGACCCAGTCCTCTGAGTTACCTGGAAATGAATAAGTAGAAAAGTTACTTGGAGGGGAAGGGAACGTGACTTAGTGGTAGAGTGCTTGCCTAGCATGCATGAAACCCTGGTTTGATTCCTCAGTACCACATACACAGAAGAAGCTGGAAGTAGCACTGTGGCTCAAGTGGTAGAGCAAAAGAAGCTCAGGGACAGTGCTCAGTCCCTGAGTTCAAGCCCCAGGACTGGCAAAAAAAAAAAAAAAAAAAGAAAAGTTATCTGGGGAGAGGTTTAATGACTAGCAATGGCCTGGTATGCACAAAGCCCTGGGTTCCATTCCCAACCCCACAAAATAGCAATAATCTAAGGCATATCAGGCACAGAATGGCATTAGTCTGCCCTACAGTCCGGAGTGAGGAATAAATAAATGATCATTGTAGACACTGCCTTTTCCACTGGACACTGATGCTCATGCATGTAATCCTAGCTACTCAGCCAACTGAGATTTGAGGATTCACTGTTCAAAGCCAGCCTGGGACAGGAAAGTCTGTGAACCTCTTTTCTTTTTTTTTTTTCTTTTTTTTGGTCCGGTTGTGGGGCCTGAACTCTGGGCCTGGGCGCTGTCCCTCCCTCAGCTCTTCAGCTCAAGGCTAGCGCTCTACCACTTGAGCCTCAGTGCCACTTCTGGCTTTTTTTTTTCTTTTTGCTTATGTGGTACTGAGGAATCGAACCCAGGACCTCATGCATTCAAGGCAAGTGCTCTACTACTGAGCCACCTTCCCAGCCCCCTCTTTTCTTTTTGTTTGTTTGTTTTTGTCGGTTGTGGGGCTTGAACTCTGGGCCTGGGCGCTGTCCCTCAGCTCTTCAGCTCAAGGCTAGCACTCTACAACTTGAGCTACAGCACCACTTCCTATGAACCTCTTATCTCCAATAAACCACCAGAAAACCAGAATTGGAGCTGTGGCTCAAAGTGGTAGAGCAAAAGCTTTGAGCAAACGGATGTATATTTTGTTAAAATGTCATTTTCCTCAACCATTTTTTTTTTTTGCTGGACGTGGGACCTGAACTCTGGACCTAGGCGCTGTCCCTCAGCTCTTCAGCTCAAGGCTAGCGCTCTACCACTTGAGCCACAGCGCCACTTCCAGCTTTTTCTGTTTATGTGGTGCTGAGGAATCGAACCCAGGACCTCATGCATGCAAGGCAAGTGCTCTACCACTGAGCCACCTTCCCAGCCCTCCTCAACCATTTTTTGTACTGGGCCTTTAAAAAAATAAATACATCATACTCTTAATGCAAAAAAAAAAAAAAGCTTTGAGCAAAAAGAGCTCAGGGACAGTGCCCAGCCCCCAATACCAAAAGAACCACACACACACACACACACACACACACACACACACACACACACACACACACACCTGCTCTTTCCTATACTGGTGGCTCACACCTATACTCCTGGCTTACTGAGATACCAGGATTTTCTTTCTGGGTAGAAAAGACTACAAGTTACTTACTTCCAATGTAAGAAGCAAAATAGCAGGGCTGGAGGAATGGCTTATGTGGTAGAGCACCAGCTGTGAGCGAGCAAGCAAGCAAGATGAGCAAGTTCGAGCCACAGTACAGGCATAAAAAGAAAGAAAGTAGTCCCCCTGCCCCGGACTCAACCCCTATCTTTCTTTTTTTGTTTTTGTTTTTGTTGGTCACAGGGCTTGAACTCTGGGCCTGGGCGCTGTCCCTCAGCTCTTCAGCTCAAGGCTAGTGCTCTACCACTTGAGCCACAGCGCCACTTCTGGCTTTTTCTGCTAATGTGGTGCTGAGGTATTAAACCCAAAGCCTAATATATACGAGGCAAGTATTCTATCACTGAGCCACCTTCCCAGTCCTCAACTCATTTCTTTTGTTCACAGGGTTTCATCCTAGATATGGTCAGCGACAACATGCTGTCCCGGCCTCAGAGCCGGGGCTTCCTCATTGATGGCTTTCCCCGGGAGTTGATGCAGGCTAAGGAGTTTGAGCGCATTGTGAGTGACCCCGAGTGTCCCCGGGAGGCATCCCTGTCTCCAACTGGGGCAAGGCCACGCTGCACAGATTGGAGGGGTGAAGGGATGATGAGGGAGATGGAGCAGTCTTAGGGGGCTGGGTAGAGTGCTTGCCTAGCAAGCATGAAGCGCTAGGTTTGATTCTTCAGTACCACATACACAGAAAAGGCCGGAAGTGGTGCTGTAGCTCAAGTGGTAGAATGCTATCCTTGAGCACAGAGAGGCCCAAGGACACAGCCCAGACCCTGAGTTCAAGCCCCAGGACTGAAAAAAGAAAAAAAGAAAAAAAAAAAAAAAAAGAACAGTCTCAGGTCAGGCACCGGTGGTTCACACCTGTAATCCTGGCTACTTGGGAGGCTGAGGTGTGAGGACTGTGGTTCAAAGCCAGTCTGGTCAGGAGTCTGTGAGGCTCTTATCTCTAATAAATGACTTCCCAAAAGCTGGAAGTAGAGCTGTGGCTCAAATGGTAGAGTGCTAGTCTTGACTAAAAATCGGGGACAGTGACCAAGCCCTGAATCCAAGCCCCAGAATTGGCACATACATTCACAAAAAGAATGCCTAGTTGGGTGGGTATGGTAGTACACACTGGTAATTCTCATTACTTGGGAGGTTGAAGCAGGAGAATTGCAAGGTCAAAGCCAGCTTGGGCAATTTAGTAAGATGCTGTCTCAAAATAAAAATTAATTAAAAAAAAAAAAGAGCTGGACCTTCACAACTGTAATCCTAGCTACACAGGAAGCTGAGGATCTTGGTTCAAATCCATCCTGAGCAGAAAAGTCCCCATGAGAGTCTTAGCTCCAATTAGCCACCAGAAAGCCAGAAATAGAGCTGTGGCTCAAAGTGGTAGAGCACTCACCTTGAGCAAAAAGAGCTCAAGGACAGCATTTAGGCCCTAAATTCAGGCCAAAAGGGCTGAGGATGTGACTCAGTGGTCGAATTCTTGCCTAGCATGCAGGGGGCCCTGGGTTCAAACCCCAGGGGGTGGGGGAAGAGGTGATTAGGATCTTCCAGAACTGGGAGAGGAACTCAGGAGCTCTCTGAGGGTGGGAGGGAGTTATTTCAGTGTCTTCCTAGCCTTTTCCTGGTGTCTGGTGGGTGAACTGTTTACTCTGTGAGAAGCAGTTGAGGTTCGAGAAGCAGGTGGGGTGGGCTGTAAAGGGGGAATGCCCCCCCTCCATTGCCCTTGTCATCTGTAGAGGGGTTGAAGCCTGGGCCTTGGGAAGGGGCCTCATCCTGTCAGGGTCTCACTCTTGTGACTGCCTCTTCTCCCTCCCCTCCCCATCCCCACCCCCACACACCTTGTGACCTGGGACGTAGCCTCTCCATCCTTCTGTAAAAATGGTGGGAGCCCACAGAACTTTCCAGAAGATGAGTTCTCCCATGAAGAGTGTGGAGAAAAGGGCTAGGGAGGTTCAGGTTGCTGTTATTCGGGGATGGGTAGGCCTTATGCTGCCAAGCCGGTCGTTTCTATCCCCAGAGATGCAGGGAGGTTTGAGGTACACCACTAAACGGGAATGTGGACCATAAATTCTGAAAGTAAATATTGTGTGGTCAGGGGGCCACTGAAGCCAAAAGCAGTGGCCACTTGTGGCACCCACTTAGCCTCCTGGGCCAGCTTTTCCTCATTGCACAATCTCTAAGCAGGACCCCAGCAATCCCAGGGGAGCAGGTCACTGTCTAGGTGTCCAGAGAGGTCCTTTCATAAAATTGATACTGGGTGCTGGTGGCTCATGCCTGTAATTCTAGCTACTCAGGAGGCTGAGAGCTGAGGATCTCAGTTCCAAACTAACCGGGGCAGAAAAGTTTAGATCTCTTAGCTTCAGTTATCTGGCAAAAAAAAGGCTGGAAGTGGAGCTGTGGCTCAAGTGGTAGAGCACCAGCCTTGGGCAAAAGGGACAGCATCCAGGACCTGAGTTGAAGCCCCGGTATTGATAAAATCATAAAAAGTTGCTGGGCACCAGTGGCTTATACCTGTAATCCTAGCTCCTCTAGTGGCTGAGATCTGAGGATCACAGCTCAAAGAGAGCCCAAACAGGAACGTCCCTGAGATTTTTTTTTTTTTGGTCTGTCTGAACTCTGAGCCTGGGCACTGTCCCTCAGCTCTTCAGCTCAAGGCAAGTGCTCTACCACTTGAGCCACAGCACCAGTTCTGATTTTCTGGTGGTTCACTGGAGATAAGAGTCTCACGGATGGGCTGGGAAGTTGGCTCAGTGGTAGAGTGCTTGCCTTGCATGCCTGAGGCCCTGGGTTCGATTCCTCAGTACCACATAAACAAAAAGAAAAAAAAAACCAGAAGTGGCGCTGTGGCTCAAGTGGTAGAGCGCTAGCCTTGAGCTGAAGAGCTGAGGGACAGCGCCCAGGCCCAGAGTTCAGGCACCATGACCGGACCCAAAAAAAAAAAAAGTCTCACGGACATTCCTGCTTGGGTTGGCTAGGAATTACAGGTGTGAAGGTGAGAGCCACTGGTGCCCAGGGCTTCATGCATACTAGGCAAGCACTCTACCACTGAGCCACCTTCCCAGCCTTGCCTTGCCTTTCCCTTTCATTTCCTTTTCCTTCCTTCCTTCCTTCCTTCCTTCCTTCCTTCCTTCCTTCCTTCCTTCCTTCCTTCCTTCCTTCCTTCCTTCCCCTCCTCTTTCTTTTTCTTTCTTTTCTCTCCTTCTTTCTTCTTTCTTTTCTTTTTTTCTGTATTGGAGATAAGAGTCTCACCAAGCCAGCACTGGTGGCTCGCACCTGTAATCCTAGCTACACCAGAGGCTGAGATCTGAGGATCACAGTTCAAAGCCAGTCCAGGCAGTAATGTCCGTAACACTCTTATCTCCAATAAACCACTAGAAAACTGGAAGTGGCGCTGTGGCTCAAGTGGTAGAGCGCTCGCCTTGAGCTGAAGAGCTGAGGGACAGCACCCAGGCCCAGAGTTCAAGCCTCATGACCCACCCCCCCTCAAAAAAAAAAAAAAAGTCTCACCAACATGTGTCTTGCCTGGGCTGTGATCCTCAGATCTCAGCCTCCTGAGTCACTAGTGTGAATCGCTGGTGCCTGGCTCCTTAGATTTTGTTTCATTTTGGTGGCACTGAGGTTTAAATTCAGGACCTCTCACTTGTTAAGCTGCTCAAACACTTACTTTGGGTTTTTTTTTTTTTGGTTTTTGGGTCCGGTCGTGGGGCCTGAACTCTGGGCCTGGGTGCTGTCCCTCAGCTCTTCAGCTCAAGGCTAGCAGTCTACCACTTGAGCCACAGCACCACTTCCGGCTTTTTTTTTCTTTTTGCTTATGTGGTGCTGAGGAATCGAACCCAGGGCCTCAGGCATGTAAGGCAAGCGCTCTACCGCTGAGCCCTCTTCCTAGCCCTGCTCAAACACTTATGTCCTTACCCTGCTTGCTGTTTTCAGATGGGTCTTTGCTTTTGTCTGGGGTAGACTTGGACAGCAATCCGAACTTCCTATCTTCTCCTGTATAGATGGGATCACAATCATATACCACCGCCCCCCCTCCCCCTTGAGTACAAAGCTTTATTGTGCAGATAGGGTAACTTTTTTGCCTGGGCTGGTCTGGAACCAAGATCCTTCTTATTTCATCTTCTGAGTAACTGGGATGAGTGCGATCCACCATACCTGGTCTGTTCTGATTTCTTTTTTGAAATCTGGCCACTTTAGCTAACTCCCATCCCAACAAGCCAGAGGTACGAGAGTGGAGCAGGTTTGGAACTCAGTGGTGAGCACCTGCCTGCGGTGCAGGAAGCCCTGGGTTCCTCCTGCACGGCAAAAATAACTAAAAGTGACAAGATTAGAAAGTAAGGTTCCTGGTTAAGGTACTGACTGAGAAAATACTTAGCAATTCCTGGCAGTGTTTCTTGGAAATTGCTTTTTATAAAATGAATTTGTGCTTAATGTTGTCACTTGCCCTTTCTGTGTCTGCAGATGGTCAGATAGCTGCTTCTTTACTTCTGGGTTAAAGCAATAGATCATATAAGACTCCTTCCTGACCTGAAACCCACTTGGTTGAGATGAACCTGTATTAGCCTCAATACCTTATTCCAGGATTCTCAATCTCTGATCCAAAATATTTGGGGCAAAAAAATTTCAATTTGTATTTCTAAGTTGAATCCAGTGTGTTCAAACCTCAGGACTGGAAAGAAAACGAGGAGAACTTAAACTAGAAAATAAAGCCAGGGTGGGGAGGGAGATGGGGGCCAGTGGCTCATGCCTGGAATCCTAGCTACTCAGGCAGCGGAGATTTGAGGGTGCAGTTCAAAGCCAGCCTGGGCAGGAAAAGTCTATGAGATTCTCATCTCCAGTTAACCACCAGAAGACCAGAAATGGCATTGTGGCTCAAAGGTGTAGAGCACTTAGCTTTGAGCAAAAGAGCTTAGGGACAGCACCCAAGCCCTAAGGTCAAGCCCCCATGACTGACAAAAAGGAACCAAAACACTGGACCAGGGAGGCCTGAGTTTTGTTCCCAGTCTCTGCCAGGTGCTGGCAGGGCCCCTTCTCACTCAGAGCCTTGTTCATGCCTAGGTGGGCCGGGCCCCAGATATGGTCATCATGTTTGACTGCTCTATGGAGACCATGGTGCAGCGGACATTGCTCCAGAGCCAGGTGGAGCAGCGGGTAGACAACTCGGAGCTGGCCATCCGCAAGCGCCTGGAGACGCACTATACCCTGTGCCAGCCTGTCCTCACCTTCTACCAGCAGAAAAACCTGCTGCGAAATGTGTGTCCCTTGGAGTTGGGCTTGGTTCCCGAACTAGTACTGTGGGGTGGGGTGGGGTGGGGTGGCCCCGTTTCTTCATTGTAGGGGGCTCTGAGCCCTAACCACCACAGTGGGCTCCAAGTAGTGGATACAGGGTAGGGCGGAGACCCAAGCCCCCACTTTCAGCCAGGAAAGATGGTGGGGATTCTTCCATCTCCTGGCTCCTGAGTGGTCCTTGTCCCAAAACCTACATGGGCAGAGAAGGCAGTGTCCCTAATGGGATGCCTCCTGACCCTGCCTGACCTCCCCCCTTCCCCAGATCTTGGCAGAAGAGGCTCCAGAGAACATTTTTGCCAAGTGCTGTTTGGTCATTGACAGTCTGCAGTGAGCCAGGTGGGCCGGCTCAGCTCCACCCTGGAGCAATGATGGCTCCCAAGGGGATCCACAAGAGCAGGTACCTAGCAGGTATGACAGTGCCTCCTAGAGGCAGTGGTGGCCCACTGTCTGCTGTTTGGCCCCTGACTGTGGAGGCCAGGGCTGCCCTCCATCCCAGCTGCCCACCCTGGACCTCACCCAACTGGGCAGAGGCCAGGCCTAAACATTGATTGGCAATATAGTCAAAGCCCGGTGCACAGTTGTTCTCTCCAGAGGCTGTGCCATAGGAACCTGGCCCAGGGGACCCGCCTAGGTGTCTGACTCCCCAGGTTCCCAGAGGGAACCAAGGGGAGTAGAGACAGCCCTGCCCTTCTCCACACAGGAGGGCACTCGTGGACCCATGCCCCACTCCTGCCATCCGCAAAGCCTCGTCCTTCGCCTGGTTCTCAATACACAACTGCAGCCAGCATGCAGTGTTTTAAAATAAAGCACTTTATTTAACAAAAAGGGGAGGGATAAAAGCAATGTGCCTGCCTGCAGAAAGCTAGTTTGTTTTTTTTTAAAAAACAAAGAAAACCCACACACAACACAAAGCTTCTAAATTTCCAATCAACACCATCATCAGGCTTTTTTTTTTCTCTTTTAAACAACATCTATAAAGAACAAATATCAGCTTCAAAAGTCTGCAGAGAGGAGGGAGAGAGAGAGAGAGACAGTACTCGTGGCAGACACAGGGAGGTTTTGTTATTATTTATTTGTGAAGTTAAAAACGAGCGATAAAAAGTAAAAACTGCCATACAATTTTTTTTTTGTTTGTTTTGTTCATTTTGTTTCTAGTTATCTCCTCTGGAACAGATGAAAAGACAAGAGAGCAGACCAGTCCTGGGCGGGGGCGGGTGTGGGTGGGGAGGGAGGAGCGAGGGAAGGGGGGAGGGGGTCTGCCATACCCACACCTGGTCCAAGGAATGTTCAACTCTAACTAAAAAAAAATAAAAAAAAAAAAAAAAAAAAGAGAGAAAAATGAAAAAGAAATAGCAAGTGACTTTTTTTTTTTTCCTTTTTGAAAGTTTATTTTAAAAACAAGAGGGCCACGGGCAGTTGGGAGAAAACGAATCACTTTACCCTCAGGAGAGGCTGTTTTGGGAAGGCTGGGGGATAGAGATTTATATATATATATATCATTTAATAGGTTTTGTTCTGCTTTGTGTTTTTAATTTTTAAAGTTTTTTTTTTTTTTGGCAGAGATTTTTAGTTCTCGCTATTTTCTAAGGCTGGCTCAACATGAAGAATCCCAATTTTGAAAGGAAGAGGATGCGGACGCTGGGGTGTGAGAGCTGGCCCCTCACAGGGGCCCCCAGCACCCCAGGCAGCCATCGCGCTCACCAAACAAACCAAGGAAAAACACAAACAAAAAAAAGCCCCCAAACAGAACAAAATGGAGAAAAAAAAAATAAAAGATTTTCACAGATGAAGAAGTTCACATTCATTCGATTCATTGAGCCTGTGGAGAGGGGAGAGACAGGAATTGGTCACTACGGGAGGGGCAGCGGGCCTGGGTGAAGAGCTGGACCTCCAGGAGGAGCCAGGAAGCCCCTCCAAGCCTGTGCGGCCCAGGCTGAGGCTGAGGCCTGCCACTGTCTAGCCTCTCAGGACTCTCAAGTCAGACTGCTGCCTGGAGGAAGAGGAAGAGGAAGAGGAAGAGGAGGAGGAGGAGGAGGAAAGGCAGAAGAGAGAAGCAGGAGTGAGGAGGGGGCGGGAAGGGGGGTGCTGGCGGCTCGGCGCATCACACATCAACAGTCAGATCATGGTGTCCCCACAACACCCCTGTGAGGTAGGTTGGAAAGTGGCATCGGTCGCCATGCCCACTTCACAGACAGGACCAGGACACAGAGGCGAGCACGCGAGGGCGCGGTGGCCAGGCAGCCCGCACAGAGCCAGCAGCCCGCACACGCAGTCACTTGGACGTGGGGGATAAAGGTCGTGGTTTTTAAAAAATAAAGGAATAAAAAGAACAAAACCCCAAAAAGTGATGTGGAGAAGGGGAGAGGAAAAAAAAAATTTCTTCCCAAGTGGGCAGACTCGAGTGGCCGGCAGCGGGCGGGACGCCATGGGAGCTGCCTGCCGGTCCCACCCAGGACTACCCACCAGTTCTCAAGTTCCACCTGTGCGTGCTTCGCGCTCCCCCAGCGTGGCGACAGTCACACAGGAACGAGCAGCTGGCGAGGAGCCTCCTCCGTGAGCCTCTGGACCCAGCGAGCGCTTCCCGGCGGCGGCAGCGGGCGGGCGGGCGGCGGGCGCGGGGCGCTCCGGAGACTCTGGCCACACGCCCGCTGCAGGCATCAAGGGCACACCCCGCAGGGGAAGGGGTTTCCGGCGCTACCCACTAAGGCAGGATGGACGGTGGCCGGGGGTTGGAAGGAGAAAGGAGGAGGAGGAGGGTGGCAATTCCCACTTGCCTGCTGCTGTCCCTGCTGGGTGGGGGGCGGCTGGGGGCCGCCGGGGCCGGGGGTCTGTCCGTAGTACGCGGCCTGCTGTCTGTAATACTCAGCCCAGGCAGCGCTGTAGTCCGGCTGGGAGCCAGGGGGTGCTCCGGGACCCCCTCCGGTGGCCACTTGGGCTGTGGTGTGGAAAGCAGAGGTGAATGAGCAGAGAGCTCCCCCCTGCCCGCTGTGCCCCACGCCTGGGGAGCCCCTGGCCTACCCTGCTTCTTGTAGTACTCCTCCCAGGCCTTGGTGTAGTCCTGCTGTGGCGGGGCTCCAGGCTGCTGTGGCTGTTGGCCTGGGGGGTGGAGTGCAGTGGAGGGTCAGGGTTGGGAAGGAGTGGGGCAGAGGATCAGGGTACCCCAGGATAGCGTGGGGTGGAAGGTCAGGGCAGGGGGCCTCCCTGCGGCACTCACCCATCTTCTTGTAGTACTCCTCCCAGGCCTTGGTGTAGTCGGACTGGCCTGCAGGTGGGGGCTGCGGGGGCTCCCCTTGCGCAGGTGGGGCAGCGGGTGCGGGCGCGGGGCCGGGCACGGGCCCGGGGGGCTGCTGGTAGTAGTGCGAGTAGTAGGCGGCCCAGGCGGCATTGGGGTCGGCGGCGGCGGCAGCTGCCTTGTCTGCACGAAGGCAACTGGTGGTGAGGGAGGCCTGGGAGCATGGCCCAGCCTCCCCAGGGGCTCTCACACTTACTGGGGTCATGAGGAGCGGGGGGCTGCCACTGGGGGTAGGTGTTGCCCCAGCCTTGGGGTGGGTACTGGTGAGGAGGGGGTCCGCCGGCGCTGTGGGAGACATAGGGAGCTTGTGAGGTGCTGTATGGCCCCACCTATCCCATGCGTGGTGGGATATGGGAGTGGGCCCAGCTCCCTCCCCCGCCAAGTCAGGAGTACTCACTGTGGAGGGGCCCCTGGTGGCCCCTGGTTGAAGGGCCCTGGGTTGAAGGGGCCCATGGGGCCTGCAGGGCCTGGTCCCCCGGGACCTGGTCCGACTGGGCAGAGGGGACCCTGGAGGATGAAGCAAGGATGTGAGTAGGGTGGCAGCGTGCAGGGAAATGGGGTCGCAGGTTCCTGGCCAGGAGCCCACCTCAATCTTCTCCTCAATGAGCTGCTTGGCGTGGTCAATCTGCTGAGGTGAGCCGCGGATAATGAAGAGTTTGAAGTTGGGGTCCCCATTGGGGGGCAGTTGCCGGGAGATCTCCACAAAGGCGCCCGTCTGCTGGTTGATGGCTTTCACATTCTCACCACCTGCAGGGCCACAGCCAGTGAGGGGAGAGCAGGAATGAGGGGCAATGGGGGTTGGGGGTGGGGTTGGGGGAGGGGAACTCACCTCGGCCAATGACCAACCCACACTTGTGGGTGGGAATAGAGAAGGTCATCTCTCCACCAGGGGGCCCCCAGTTGCCTTGGCCTCTTCCTCGGCCACGGCCCCCAGGGGGCATGCCAGGACCCCCAGGAGGGCCTGGAGGACCGCTCTGTTGAACAGGGAGAATGAGGACTGAAGCAGGAAGCCAACCTGGCCCCGGATGTCCCCAGGAGGGCTGGGCATCACCAGCCCAGGCAGCACCCCCAGACCACCCACCCGGAGGCTCTGGAGGAGGTCGTTGATGATCCGGGCCGCATGCTCACAGCGCTCTGGGGGGCCCATGATGTGAGCAATCTTCTCGGGTCCCGTCCCATCATCTGCGGCCAACACCGAGAGAGCAGAGATTGATTTAAAAGCAGAACTCCCAGCCTCTGGGCTGGCACCCCGGGGAAACACTGCCAAGCCACAGGTGCCTCTGAGGTCTGCCATCATGCTGTGCCCTGAACCCCCTTGTCCCACGGTGGAAGGGCAGCAGGGCAGCAGCTGAGGCCCCTTCCTGCCTTTCAGGCTCAGAGCTAGCTGAGCTGTCGTCTCCGGACTTTCCAGCAAGCACTCTCAACAGCACTGGTCCCCTGCCCAGACCTGAGGTTAGCCCAACTTGGGGAGGAACATTTGGTGGGGACCGGTGGTCTCCCAGTGGATGATCTGATGGCTGGGCCTTTCCTATGGACTGCAGCCTGCCTGTGGCACATTGCTTCTACCCGACCTTCAGATAAGACACACAAGCCAGGCATAGGGACCTCACCTTGCTTGAACTGTATCCGCACCCCGGCATCATTCTGGATCTTCTTGATCATTTCTCCACTCCGGCCGATGACCACTCCAACAGAATGCCTGGGCACTGGCACCTGGGAGTTGGGGAGGCGCAGGGTCAGCAAGCTTTGCCTGCAGCTTGGCTGCACCCTCCCTGCCCTCTACTCACGTCAATGCCTCCACCGATGCGAGAGCCGTACTCCGTGCGGTCCCCGAAGCCACCCTGCTCTCGTTCACGGAGGATGTCCATTACCATCTCACAGGCTTGCTGCATGCACAGGGATCTGGTCAGCATGTTGCAGTCCGGCTGCCCGGGTGCCTGGCCTCCCAGTCCCAGCCTGGGCCCAGGGCCTCAGTGCAACGCCACACCTCTGTGCAGTTTTGCACCTGCTCCCTAGTGGACAGGAAGCCCCAGACTCCAAGCAAGAAAGGGAAGACACCTCGTGGAATAGACAGGGCTGACCTCAAGGCTGGTGCCTGCTCACCCTGTAGAGCCTTAGGCAGCCCTCCAGGATCAGTGGCCACCCCCAGAGCTCACCTGCACTTTGTATGGATCCCCAATGATCCGGAGAGGCTTGTCCACATTGGTGTTCTGGGACCCGTCCTGAATTAAAATCATCTTCACCCCGGCACGCTCCTGGATAACCAATGGCAACCATGAGGGCCAGGCTCTCCTGGGACTCTCGAGCTGGAGGGGACCGGGGTGGGGACAGTGGAGTGCCAATCCGTCACCTGCAGCTGCTTAATCGTCTCCCCGCCTTTGCCGATGACCAGGCCAGCCTTGCCAGCAGGAATCATGATCTCCTGCACGGTGCCATTCTGGCCCCCATTGGCATTGTCGTGGAACTGTCCTGGGGGGCCCCCACGACCCCGAGACACAATGTCATCCAGCATCATCTTCGCTTTCCTGGAGAGGGAAGGACAGGCTGCTGCTACCACTTGCAGAAACAGATGAACCCCAGCTTGAAGGGGAGGGGGCCCCAACCAGTGTATGGGGCAGACGCCAAAGAGGAGGCCTGGCATGGGGGACTGTTCAGCCTGGAGCTTTGGCAGACGTTGGCATTCTCAGGCATCAACCTGTGCGCACAGCTCTCTGCAGAGGGCAGGAGTGAAGGACACGTGGCGGTGTCACTCCCAATTCCTGAAGGAAAGAGGGCTTCTGCCTGCTCCCCAAGTCACCAAGGTGCAGCCAGGCACTTACTGGACAGACTCAGGGGCTCCCGTCAAGGACACACTGCGCTCAGGTAAGCCACCACTGTCTGCAGAGAAGAGGAGACAGTGACCAAAGACAAGTGTGGAGATGAGGAAGCTTCCAGACAGCCTGTGGCCACTACCTCCCCACCCTCAGGTTACTCACTGGGAAAAGATAGGTGGAAGAAAAGACAGATTCAATAAGGACCAAGACCAAGGGCTTGGAATGTGGCTCAGTGGCAGAGTGCTTGCCTAACATGCACAACATCCTGGGTTTGATTCCTCAGTACCACATAAACAGAGAAAACCAAAAGTGGTGCTGTGGCTCAAGTGGTAGAGTTCTAGTCTTGAGCAAAAGCAGCTCAGGGACAGTGCCCAGAGCCTGTGTACAAGTCCCAGGACTAGCATAAAAAAAAAAAGAGGACCAAGACCTTGCCCTACTCCATTCCCTGCCCAGGTGCCCATGAACTTCCAGCCACCCACATCTCAGCCACCATGACGGTGCTTTAGACAAAGCAGCCACATGGTCACCTCATCCAATTCTTCCTTGTGGGCGATTCAATTTGGGGAAAGGGGACCTTCGCTCCCTGTCACACCTAGTGGTGTACTCTGTTTTGAGCCCAGTAAACATGAATCAGTGACAGTGCCAGCAGGTGTCAAGCAGGACGCTTGTTCCCCATACCTGGAGAGATCTGCACTTTGCAGCCCGAGTCCTGCTGGATTTTGTTGATCTGTTCGCCTCCTCTGCCAATGACTAGTAGACAGAAGAAATGCAGATATGGGCTGAGGAGGTCTGGAACTCAGGAGACTAGACTGGGGGTCTCCATTGGCAGCCCTCCCACAGCTCCCTGGAGGGCAGAGCACAGAAGCCCCATGGGGCCCAAAGGGACCAGCACTCACTTAGGCCCACCATGCCGTCTGGGACCCTGTACTCTTCTGTCATTGAAGTCCTGAAAGAGATGCTGCAAGTCACCCTGAGCACAGGGTGCAAGCTCCCTCCTGCCCTCCATGCTTCTAGCTGAATACCCAGCTTCCTACACTGGGGCCCAAGGCCCAGGGCCTGCTCTTCTCACCTCCTGAAGCAGGATACAATACCCCCAACTGTATGTGAGTTTCCCACTGGCCTTCCCCACAACCTGACAGGTTTACATGTGCACCTGATGTGGTAAAGTGGCAGAGACCCCCCCCCCCCCAGACCATGCCAACCCTCAGCCTGAGAGGCAGTCTGTATGTCTGAGCAACCCAGTCCAGGGGCAGCAACATCAGCAGCACCACTGTGTCATAAACAGCTGCTGAGTAGACCCTGATAGCTTCCTGGACTTGCTGGTTGGGTATGCCTGGCCTGTCAGTTGGGAGACAACTGCATGGTGTGGCAGAGACAGCCAAGAGCCCCATGAGCAGCTCAGTTACCTTGGGGGAGGGTGGATGGGTCCCAGCTGCGAACTGATGGCTGCAGAGAGAAATCCCAAAAGACCAGCTTAGCTCTTGTCCATACACCCCATGCCCACACCAGGGGCAACTGGCACTTATTACCCACAGTCCTGATGGCCACTGGAGGCCTCCCTCAAAAGTGCATGCAGGGCCTGGGACTGTGGCTTAGTGGTAGAGTGCTTACCTAGCATGCATAAAGCCCTGGGTTCAATTCCTTAGAAAAAAACCAAAAGTGGTGCTGTAGCAAATGGCTAGCGTCTTGAGCAAAAGAAATTCAGGAACAGTGCCCAGGCCTTAACTTCAAGCCCAGGATTGGGGGGAAAAGAAAAAAAGGTGCATGCAGGCCAGACACTGGTGGTTCAGGCCTGTAACCCTGGCTACTCAGGAGGCTGAGACGTAAGGATTGCAATTTAAAGCCAGTAGGGCAGGCTAGGATGTAGCTTATTGGTAAGTTCAATGTCCTGGGTTCGATCCCCAGTACAAAAAAAATTTTTAAAAAGCTGGGTATTGGTGGCTCACACTTGTAATCCTAGCTACTCAGGAGGCTGAGATCTGAGGATCACGGTTCAAAGCCAGTCTGGGCAGGAAAGTCCGTGATACTCATCTCCAATAAATCACTCAGAAAACCGAAAATGGCACTGTGGCTCAAGTGGTAGAGTGCTTGCCTTGAGCTGAAGAGCTGATGGATAGCACTCAGGCCTAGAGTTCAAGACCCACAACTGACAACCAAACAAACAAACAGCCAAAGCCAGTGGGGCAGCCAAGCTTATGAGACTATTATCTCCAATTAATGACTAGAAAACCGGAAGTGGAGCTATGACTCAAAGTGGTAGAGTGCTAGCCTTGAGCAAGAGAGCTCAGGAATAGTGCCCCAGTCCTCAGTTCAAGCCCTACAACTGACAGAGAGAGAGAGAGAGAGAAAGAGAGAGAAAGTGAGAGAAAAAGAGAGAAAGAGAGAGAGAGAAATATGCAGGTGGCTCATGCCTATAATCCTAGCTACTCAGGAGGCTGAGATCTGAGGATCACAGTTCAAAGCCAGCTTGGGCAGAAAAGTCTGAGACTCTTATCTCTAATTAACCACCAGAAAACCAGAAGTGGCCCTGTGGCTCAAGTTATAGGGCCCTTGCCTTGAGCTGAAGAGCTCAGGGAGAGCATCCAGGCCCAGAGTTCAAGTCCCATAACCAACAACAACAACAAAAGTGCATGCAGCCTCAAATCCAGGGGGCTCTAGATCTCTAAAACTCATGTATTACCGGGAACACAAGCCTCCCCAAAGCAGAGCTACCTACTCTAAACTTCCAGCTCCTGACCCTCCCTCCCTCCCCCAAGACCACAAAGCTGTCATAGGCACAGTCTGGACTTACAGTCTCCCTGGGAAGCCAGCTTCTTGCTCTCCGGCTGGTCTGTGGATGATAGAGGGTGTCAGATGCAGCACCACCCACCCGTCTGGCTGTTGCCACATGTCCCCACCCCAGCATCGGCACAGAGCTGGGGGTGGCAGAGGGCAGTCCCAGTGGGGCCGCCAACACCCAGGGTGACACTCTACAAGGAACAACCTCCAAGTGGTAAAGGCAGCTGGCTCCCCCTTGATGCTGGTTGGCCTTAGGGCCTGTCCCTAGAGGGGAGGAATGATCTTGGAACTTATAACTTACAACTTTGCCTTCTCAGCCACTGGATATGTCAGGGTGGCAGAGAGAACAAAATACAAGACCAGGACTGCTGACGCTTTCTGCAAGCAGTCTCCCTCACACTGGTACTCTCTGCACCTCAGCTCTCCCTCCCAAACTAAAAGTGGCTGCTGGGAGTTACCTCCATCTTCCAGCTGTCTCTTTTGGCCCCCAAAACCAAAATCAGGAGTGCTGTTATTCACAGTTGTAGCAGAATCGCCTCCAATTTTGGCTGCAATCTGGAGAAAGTAGGAAGCAAAGAAGAGTTGACCATGAGAGAGAAACACCTGTCCCCCAAACCTTCCCTGGAGCCTGCAGGGCCAGGAGTGGCATGCCTTGATTTAGAGTGAGCTGGGGGTGAAGGCATCCTGGAAGGAGTTTTTATGAAAGTTTCATAAAGTTCTCCCAAGTAACTGGGAACACCCTTTTCCTTGTCTTGGTGGGATCTGCAGAGAAAGCACTGGCATGACAGCGCCCATAATGCACTGACTTTGTTTTAAGTGGTGAAAGAAGCAGCTTGGTGGCCTGTAGAGGGGGACCCGAGGTTACCTCAGGAAGCAAGAGCTTTCAGACCCTGCTTTCTACACGAGTAACTTCTCCCAGCTTGACTCTTGGGGTGCTAGAACACAACTTTTTCCAGTTCCTCACCCTCAGCATCTCTGTACCCAAAAAGCCCTCATGTGACTAAGACAAAGCCCCCTTTGCAACACACTATACGTGTGTGCTAGTATGAACTCAGGACCTGGGTGCTTAGCTTTTTCACTTAAGGCTAGTACTCTACCCCTTTGGCACTACTTTTTTTTCTGGCTAACAGGAGATAAGCGTGTCACAGACTTTCCTGCCTGGGCTGGCTTCCAACCTCCATCCTAAGATCTCAGCCTCCTGAATAGCTAGGATTACAAGGTATAAGCATCAAAACCATATATGTTTAACATACATGAAGAGCAACTTCAGACACACCCAATTCAGCAAACAAACTTCAGATCACAACCTAGCTGTGTTTTAGAGACCCAGAGCCCATGCTCAGAATCTTTCTCTCCAACTCCACTGAGGGAAAAAAAAGGAGAAGAGCTTGTATCTTGGCAGGCCATAGAGGGCTTGGTGTATCACCCCAAATAATAGCACCAAGCTCCCACATTCAATCAATTCCCAACAGAATAAACACATTTTGAGGAGCAACCAGATCAAATGCTCCATCCAACCTACCCCACGCTGGTGGTGAGGAAGCTGGAGGCCATACTGGGAAGAAGTGAGGGAGGTCACCTAACGGGTCCTCCCACCTTGGGAGGAGCCAGTCCCCAGCCCAGAGGCGTGGGGACAAGCCCAGGGTGCCACACTCCAGTCATCTACTTCCTGAGCCCGCAGCAAAGTTCTCCCTAAGGGTCCCAAACCCTCTAGGCCTGAGAAAAGTAAGCCGGTAGAACTGAGGTCAGTCACAGCAGCACGTGACCCCTTTCATGCTGTCATCGGGCCTCAAAACGCGGCGATGGCACGACCCCCCCTCCCACTTTCCCAAAGACACACTTGACTTTCAAACTACCCAAAAACATCTGCGGGTGTCCACCTTCCCCATCTGGCCTGAAGGCTCAGGCGCCAAAGAGGGTCTTCTTCATTTTCCAGAGTTTTTTCTTTTTTTTTTTTTAAAGGGAAAGGGTCCCCCGTGGGACAAGGTTGGGGCAAAAACATGGCCCTTGGCTCTGATGTGGACAATCAGTGCGCAAAGCAAGACCCAACATTCAAGAAGGGGTGGGTGGGGGAGATCCATGGCCTCTGAGAGTGGGGGGCAAGTCTATGTGCCGGAAGGGACCACCCCAAGTTGAGGCCTGGATCTCCGCGACCCCGGCCCACCCAGGAACTGCTCTGGGTGACCCGACGCCGCCCCGACTCCACGTAGCTCCCCCCCCCCCCCGGGAGGAGCTGACCCCTGCCGGACAGGCCCCCAGCCGGCTACCCATGTGACCCCACGGCAGTCCCGGGCACCGCCCCCTCGCGACCCCGCGCGCGCGCGCACGTGACTCCCGCCCCCTCCCCCCCAGCGCCCCTCAAGCCCGCGGCCGCCTCACCTGGCGGGCCCGCTGCACCGCGTCCGCGAAAGCGTCCTTGCGGATCCCCGGGCCGCCGCCACCCGGCGGCTGCGAGGGGCCTCCGGCCGAGCCTCCACCCGGGCCGCCGCCGCCGCCGCGGTCCCCCGCGCCCGTTGGGCCCGGCGGAGGGCCTCCGCCGGCGCCTCCGGCTCCCCCGCCCCCGCCGGCGGGCGGCGGAGGCCCGGGCGGGGGTCCTCCCGAGCTGTAGTCCGACATGGCGCGGCGAGGCCGGGCCTGGTGCGGAGGCTGAGGCTGAGGAGGAGGTGGCGGCGGCGGCGGCGGCTCAACGCGGGAACAAGGCCTCGCTCCACACGGCCGCGGAGCACTCTGGGAACCCAGCGGCTGGGAAGACGACGAGGGGGGAGAGGGTACCCCCGCCCGCCGGCGACGTGACGGACAGCGCGGCCCGGCCAATAGGTGGCGGCTTTCGCTCCCCGCGCACCAATCGCGAGCCCTGGAGGTCATCAGCCAATCGCAGCGCCGCGAGAGGCAGTGGGCGGGAGACACCGAGTGACCGACAGGTCTAGAAGGCAATGGGCTGGGGGCTGTCGGCCCTGCGAAGGCAGATCGTGGCGATTCCAGACGGCAGGAAGCCCAGTGAAGCGTGAGTTCTAGATTGAAGGGGTGGCTTCAGAATCTGGTGGATGGTTCCAAAGCGTCACGTGGACTGGGAGGCGGCGCCGGTTTGGCGGGCGCTCGGCGTGATAGTCGTGAACCTCAGCCAATGAACACAGGAGGAAGGAGGTGCTTTTAAAGATTGACAGTCAATTTAATCGAATCCCTGACAAGTTCTGGATGATGGAGCTTGGATTTGGGCATGCTTTTCTGGTTAACCAGAATCCTTTTCCAGCCCTGACTTCTAAGCCAATGGCTGAGGGGCAGGGGCGGGATATCCCTTGACTGACACCGAGAATGGGCAAATAGCCATGGAAGAAATCAATTGCCCAGTTTTGGTGGGAGCCAGTGGACGCGCAGCTGCATTAGGGCGGAGCCGGGCACCCAGCGGCGTGGGGGGATTGGCTGGAACCGGAGTGAATGGCAGCCTACGTGGGCGACGGTGACCGGCTGCTGGAACTCAAGGCCTGACGTCGGAGTTAGCACCCCAGGCTCCGGGCTGGGTCTGTCCTGCACGTGGCCCGCTTGAAGCCGTGGACCAGTGCTTCCGGGGGTGTGGCGGCCTGGGAGCTAGGGGAAAACCCCTTGCATCCCCCCCCAGTCTAGAACCTCCCTGGTGCCACCCATTCTTCCCTTCTCTCCCTCCTCAGGGCCGAGGGGTCCCAGCCCCCCCCCCCATGCCACGCTCTCTACTCTCTTCAGTCTCTTATTCCCACACCCTGGACCCGAAGATCCAAGGCCTTTGGCTAGACCCAGGTACCCCTGACACATCCTGCAGAACCCCATCTTTATTCCTAATTGTCTGAACGGTCATCAGTTATACAGCCTTAAGAGCCAGGACGATCCAGCAGAACCCGGACCAGAGTCCAAACTCAGGACTCAGGCTGTACCATGGGGAAGAAACCCAAGTGGTCTTCTAACCCAAGCCCTCTGAACTGCCTGGGAGCCTGAGGCTGGGAGGACTTTTTTGGGATCTAAGGACACTAGGTCTTGCAGTTCCTGAAAGTTCTGAGCGGTGTCAGCTCACACCCAAGGTTTTCTTCATTCCTTCATATACCACGTAGCTGATGCCCCCCGCGGGCAACACCTTGAGCAACGTGGGGGTCATGCCTCGATACAGCCCCGGCCAGCCCTGCTGGGTCAGGATCCGACGAAACACTCCACGCATGGTGGGGTTGGAGCCCTCCACCGTGTCTGTGGGAACAAGACAAGCTATGGGCTGGGTCTAATTGGAGAGAGTTTTTTTTGTTTTGTTTTGTTTTTAAGGGAGGGGTGTTTGGGGAGTGAGATTGGGGGCCTGAGCCACATCTTGGAGGAGTTTGTGGGGATCTTTTGTGGATGGATGTTTTGCTGACTCCCCCTCCCCCCCAAGCTAGAGTCAGATTGGAGGGGTGGGGGTGAGTAAAAGGTTTAGTGGGGCTGGGTGCTGGTGGCTCACACCTGTAATCCTAGCTACTCAGGAGGCTGAGATCTGAGGATTGTGGTTTGAAGCCAGCCAGGGCAAAAAAGTCCATGAGACTCTTATCTCCAATGAATCACAGAAAAAGCCAGAAGTGGTACTGTGGCTCAAGTGTTAGAGTGCTAGCCTAGAGCATTAAAAGCTCAGAGGCAGTGCCCGAACCCAGAGTTAGAGCCCTGGGACAGGCTAAAAAAAAAAAAAAAAGGCTTGAGTTCAGTGTATCAGTGAGGAGAGTCTGGGAGGATAAACAAATTCCAATATAGGCAGATAAGGGCATATGTAGTGGCCACTGAGGCCAGCCTGACCTTCTGCCTGCATCCGGGTGCGCACCAAAGTCAGTGGGTAACTGGCCATTTGTCCACAGGTTGTGGAAAGCGTTACAGACGACAGAGAGACCAGGCCACTGGGGTCCTCCATGTCCTTGCCAGACTTCAGCCACAAGCTCTGGAGCATCTGCCAAAGGAAGAGGCAAGAACGCTATTCATAAAGCCAAGAATGGATAAATGAAAAGATGGTTTGCATGCACAGTGGAATATTACTCAGGCATAAAAAAGAGCAAAGTCCTCTTGTTTACAGCACCATGAATAGAATTGGAGGATATTATGTAACGTGGAATAAGTGAAGCTCAGGAAGATAAATGCATCAAAAGCTAAAAAAACCCCAAACAAACCAAGTCTCATAGAAGTAGAATAGTGATTTTCAGAGACTAAAGAAGGGGAGGAGAAGGATGGAGAGAGGAATATTAACGGTTATTGGTACAGTTGGATAGGAGGAATAACCTACAACCATAATCATGGTTGTACATTTCAAAATAGTAGGGATAAGCCTGGTGGTACACGCTTGTAATCCCCTCACTAGGAAAGCAAAGGAAAAAGTCCATGGCCATTCTAGGATTATACCTAGAGATACTCTGTCTCAAAAAGCTAGTATGTACTAGAGTCCTGGGGCTGGAACTTAGGGTATGGGCGCTGTCCCTGAGTGTTTTTTGCTCAAGGTTAGTACTCTACCACCTGAGCCACAGCTTCACTTCTGACTTTTTGGTGGTTAATTGGAGATAAGAGTCTCACAGACTCAGCAGTATGCCGATGGCTCACACCTGGATTTCTAGCTACTCAGGAAGCTGAGATCTGAGGATTGCCGTTCAAAGCCAGCTGAGGCAGGAAAGTCCTTGAGACTCTTATCTCCAATAAACCACCAGAAAACCGGAAGTGGTGCTGTGGATCAAAGTGGTAGAGTGCTTGCCTTGAGCTGAAGAGTTCTGGGAAAACACCCAGGCCCAGAGTTCAAGACCCATGACTGACAAAAAAAGAAAAAGAAAAAAAAAAAAAAAGAGTCTCACAGACTTTCCTGCCCAAGCTGGCTTTGAACTGGTCTCAGTCTCCTGCTGAGAAGCTTGGATTACAGGTGATGGTCACTAGTGACTGGTGGGGAGAAAAAAATATTTTTGGTTAAGTGCTTGCCAGGCAGGCACTTAACCACTTGAGCCATGCTCTCAGCCTGTTTTGTTCTGGTTCTTTGTTTTAATAGGATCTTGAGTGTTTTTGCCTGTGTCCTGGACTATAATCCTATGTAATTCCTGCTCACTTGGCTGGGTGGCTGGCAAGCCACACCACACTCAGCCATAGAGAAGTTGTTTACTGTCCTCAGCACAAAGAAATGGGAACTGTCTAAGCCACCACTGGTGACCAGATCATCACACACTGTGTGCACAGTGAACCCCTGAAATACACACAACTACATGCCAAGGACAAATTCATGAAATACTTGAAAGACAGAAAGGTATCAGGCACCAGTGACTCATGCCTGTCATCCTAGCTCCTCAGGAGGCTGAGGATCCAAGTTCAAAGCCAGGGCAGGAAAGTCCTTGAGACTCTTCTCTTCAATGAACCAGCAAAAAGCTGGAAGTGGCCCAAGTGGCAGAGCATTAGTATTGAGCTAAAAAGCTGAAGGACAGTGCCCAGGCCCTGAGTTCAAGCCCCAGGACCAGCACACAAAGTGGGGGTTAAGGGGGATGGGCAGGAGAAAGCTCAGCGGGGGCCCTGCCCAGGCCAGCCCACATCCCTGTGGAACACACACCTCGTACACGGCCAGGTCTGTGCAGGCGTAGGGAATGATGCCCAGCATGTTGGGCAGGTAGCCACGGTACAGAGCCCGGGTGCCATCACGCTCCAAGATCTGCCTGGCGCAGTCCAACAACCCCTTGTACTGGCCTGTCCTGCGTAGGGTCAGCCGCGTCTTCAGCACCTGGGGAGGGAAGGCCGATCAGTTGCTCCCACCTTCTCTGTGACCTTTGTCCGTGACAGACTGTGTCCCCATCGCATGCCGGGTTTGGGACCCAGATCTGTCACCTGCTCCCTGGATTTCATGTCCAGGCACCCAGGTCACATCATGCACCATCGTGCTAGCAGTGACTTACAGGTAATGAGCAGAAATTACTAGGTGGGCCTTCCCTAATCAAATGAGGATACTCATTCCCTATCTGTCACCAGATTTTTTTGGAGGGGGGTCAGTTGTGGGGCTTGAACTCTGGGCCTGGGTGCTATCCCTGAGCTCTTCAACTCAAGGTGAGCACTCTACCACTTGAGCCACAGTATCATTTCTGGTTTTCTGGTGGTTCATTGGAGGTAAGAGTCTCACAGACTTTCCTGTCTAGGCTGGCTTTGAACTGCGATCCTCAGATCTCAGCCTCCTGTGTAGCTAGGATGACAGGTATGAGTCACTGGCACTTGGCCGAATTTTTATAAAATCTCTTATCAGGGTTGGAGGCATGGCTTAGTTGGTTGAATGTTAGCCAATGAGGGAAAGTGTCAGGTATCAAGTTCAAGAACCAGTCTCAGACAGAAAAAAAAAAAAGAAAGAAAGAAATAATCAAAAGAACCCTGTATCCAAATACCAGAAACTACAATCGCATAAAAGCTGGACTACCTGCCATAGCAGAGAAAACTCAGGTGATCCTGAGCATGGCTGACTATGGTGGGAATCCCTCATAGCTAATCCTGGAAAACTGAGAATGAAGAGGACAGAGGGTCAGGCCAGGTCAACAGTCAAAAGATCAGCGGGAGCTGGGCATGGCAATGCACACCTGTAGTCCCAGCACTCAGGAGGCTGAAGGCAGAATGGCGGCCAGACCAGGCCAGCCTGGGCTGCATAGAAACCTGGTCAGGTGTGCCAAGGGCCGGAGAGGAGAAGGAAGGATGTGTAGAAAATGACTCTTTGGTCTGTGAAGCGATTCCTGCAGCAGTGTCATGTAAGTCTTTTACAACACAAGTCATGTTAGATCCTTCCAACCATCAATCTCAGCCCCACTTGCGTAAGCTGCGGGCTTCATCAGTAAGAATGCATCCAAGTGGGCGCTGGTGGCTCATGCCTATAATCATAGCCCTATAATCCTAGTTACTCAGGAGGCTGAGGTCTGAGGATTGTGATTCAAAGCCAGGTCATGTAGAAAAAACTATGAGATTCTTTTTTTTCTTTTTTCTTTTTTTTTGTTAGTTGTGGGGCTGAACTCTGGGCCTGGGCGCTGTCCCTCAGCTCTTCAGCTTAAGGCTAGCACTCTACCACTTGAGTCGCAGTGCCACTTCAAGCTTTTTCTACTTATGTGGTACTAAGGAATCGAACCCAGGGCCTCATGCATGCAAGGCAAGCACTCTACCACTGAGCCATCTTCCCAGCCCAACATTCTTAATTTCAATGTGCCAGGCCTTGAGCACAAAAGGTCAGGGACAGCACCAGGAAAGAAAGGAAGAAAGAAAAGAAAGAGAGAGAAAGAAAGAAAGAAAGAAAAGCAAACAAGCAAGCAAGAGAAAGTCTATACATAAAAGGCAAGTACAAATCACAGAGGTGGCATCTTGGATGGTTTGGGAGATGAGACCATTCTGGAAGTGGTGTTGAAATGGGCATCTGGAGTAAAGGATGGATGCCCATCTCCTATGGTAGAGGAGGAAGGGGAGGGGGAGCCGCAGGGCCAGGCCCTGGCTGGCAGGGTGTGTGGGCCCAGCATCCTCTCACCTCCATGGGGTTGATGAGGGTCTGAGAGATAGCCACAGCCAGCGAGCCCGCGAGGAGGCGCTCCTGGAATGGCGGAGAGCCGTGCACGCCACAGAAAAAGTTCTTACACTGGTGGGGAGAGAGTAGGGTTCCAGTTGCCTTTCCACCCCCAAAGCCATCCAGTGGGAGGGGCTGGGGGTCTCGGGGCGCCAGGAAGGCTGGGATGAGACTGTGGGGTTTGTATTTTGGGGTGGGAGGTGGTGGGGGTTTGGGGGAAGCTGGCCGAGGCCCCCTACCTGCTCAAAGACAGAGAACTTGATGGCATACTCCGGGGCGATCTTGAGCACGTTGATGCCGTTACCTCGCCACAGCGAGCGCACACCCCCCTCCTGCACCATGCTCCGGAGACCCCCCAGCAAGTTCATGAAGTTAGCCTGGGAGGAGTAGACCTGGCCGGGGGCGGGGGGCGAGGGGGGGAACTGGCTCACACAGGTGCAACGCATGCGCACACATGATCTGCAACACTGCCCACATACTTCTCTATCTCCTCCTAAGGCCAGCTCCAAACCCCACCCTCCAAACCCTCCAACCCAACTCCCGTCTTTGCCTGTCCTATTCAGACGTCACTCCTCTCCACCACAGTTCCTGGCCAAGGAGCCTCCCTGGGCCCCATGTGGCTGCCTACCCATATAGAGCTTCCCTCCCGCCACCCCCGCTGCCTCCTGTCCTCAGGCCTTCATACTGGGATTTGAACTCAAGGCCTTGCACTTGGAGCCAGGAATCCCTTTTTGTTTTTTAGCTTGTTTTTCAGATAGGCTCTCCCCGCTTTTTACCTAGGGACAACCTTGAGCCTCAGTTTTCCGGTCTCCTGAGTAGCTGGGATTACACGTGTGTGCCACCATACCCTTGTGAGTGCTGTTGTCATTCCCAACTCCCAGTCTCCTCACCCCTCCACGAGAAAACCCCACTGCCAGCTGCACTCCCATCCCGCCCCCAATGCCACTTTCACCTGTGATGTCCCCATGGGCTTGGGCCGCCTCCCTGCGCACCTGCATGTACACCTTGGCTCGATCAAGAGGGGCTGTGCCTGTGCGTGACACTGCCCCTGCCATGGCTCCCGACAGCAGGAACTTCCACAAGGCTCCCTCGTTGTCCACCTCCAGGACGTCCACGGGGACCATCAGCTGCTCCCCCGTGTCTAGCACCTGAGGCCAGAGCAGCTTTGACCAGCCTCGTCATGCGTCTCTGTGCCCACGGCCCCCACGTGGATGATTCTAGATCATTCTGGTTGTCTCCCCCTACAGTCCAGGCCCTGAGATATCCATGTTGCCCCCACTCACCTGCTGGGACAGGGGATGTTCAAGATGGCTTTCAGACACATGCCCGAACACGTACCCGTACACGTGCGTGCAGCCTGGGTTCCAGTTGGGGGGCAGGGGTGGGGGCGGGGGTGGGGAGGCAGGGCTCGCTCTGGTCACTAAACCCTTGACCCTCCTGAACAGCCTATGGACCCTAGAGCAAGATTCCTTCGTTTGCTCCTGATCATCTCCCATGGTGGCTGGAGGTCAGGACATACAGACCCACGTCCCTAGGGAATGTGACCCTGCCACCATAGGTTGTAGCTCCTGGGGTGCTTTGTAAATTCGGAGTCCAGGAGGCGATGAGGTCACAGAGGCCCCTGTGACCTCGCAGGTATGGTGGCCCATGTTCTCAAACCCAGAGCAGCCACTGTGCATCACTGCCAACTCAATGGGTCCCACCAAAAGTCTCATGCTGAAACTCCCCACCCAGGGGGCTAGAAGTTGGAGAACGAAAGCTGGCATCTGTAATCCCAGCCACTCAAAGAGGCTCAGATCCTCAGGATTGTAGTTCAAAACCAGCCCAGGCAGGAAAGTCAAGAGACTCATCTCCAATTAAGCAGCACAAAGCCAGAAAGTAGAGGTGTGGCTTGAGTGGTAGAGCGCTAACCTTGAGTAAAGAAAGCTCAGGGACAGTGCTGAGGGCCTGAGTTCAAGCCCCAGTAGAGAAAGAATTTGGACGTGGACTCTTGGTAGGTGATTAGTGTCGGAGGATGTCATGAAGATAAAAGACCCCATGATAGGCTTAGTGACATTTGTTTTTTAAAGAGCCAAGTGCTGGTGGCTCCCTCCTGTAATTCTGAGCTACTCAGGATGTTGAAAGCTGAAGGTCAAGGTTCAAGGCCAGCCTAGGTAGGGAAGTCTGTGAAACTAGCCAAGAAGCCAAAAGTGGAGCTGTGGCACAAGTAATAGAGCACCAGCCTTGGGCAAAAAAGCTTAAGGACAGCACACAGGCACTGGGTTCAAGCCCCAGGACTAGCACATACACAGCCAGAAGAGATAGCTGGGTGAGGTGGCTTATACCTAGAATCCTAGCTTCTCCCCTCTCTCTCTCCCCCTCTTATCTCTCCAGTCATTTCTATTTTTTTCTGTCAGTCTTGGGGCTTGAACCCAGGGCCTGGCTACGGTCCCTGAGCTGCTTTTGCTAAAGGCTAGTACTTTACCACTTGAGCCACAGTACTACTTCTGTGTTTTTCTATCTATGGTACTGAGGAATCGAACCCAAAGCTTTAATGCATGCTAGGCAAAGCCACCTTTCCCAGCCCCTCATTTCTATTTTTCTTTTTTCTTTTTTTTTGTCGGTTGTGAGGCTTGAACTCTGGGCTTGAACGCTGTCCCTCGGCTCTTCAGCTCAAGGCTAGCACTCTACCACTTGAGCTACAGGGCCACTTCCGGTTTTCTGGTGGTTCATTGAAGAGTTTCATGGACTTTCCTGCCCGGGCTGGCTTTGAATCGCGATCCTCCTATCTCAGCCTCCTCAGTAGCTAGGATTATAGGCGTGAGCCACCAGCACCCCGCTTCATTTCTATTTCTCTACAATGAATTTAATGCTTGCTTAGGACTTGACATGTACCTCAAAAGAAGTGTTCAGGTCTTAACTCCTGGAACCTGTGAGCATGACGTTAGTTTGAGGGTTTTTTTGTTTTTTGTTTTTGTTTTGCCAGTCCTGGGGCTTGAACTCAGGGCCTGGGCTCTCTGTCTCTGAACTTCTTTTGCTCAAGGCTAGCACTCTACCACTTAAGCCACAGCACCACTTCGGGTTTTCTGGTGGTTCGTTGGATTTAAGAGTCCCAGGGACTTTCCTGCAGGGGCTGGCTTTGAACTGCAATCCTCCCTATCCTCCACCTCCAGAACTTTCCACCTCCCACAATGAAGCTCTTTCCCCCTTCAACACGTCACTCCCTTCCTGGCCTGGGGAACCCCTCATCCTACTTGCCTTCTCTGCAGACCCGATACCTCTAGAGAGCTCCTGTGAACAAGTCCTGTGTCTGCCATCTTACTGAATGCCCCGTGTCCTCAACTCCCTCCATGTTGGACCAAGTGTCAGAAACTCCTTTTTCATGGCTGAGTAATGTTCCAGTGTGTGGATAGATTGATCATCGCTTATCTGTTCACCCCCCAGTGTCTGTGTTGGTTGTTTCTACCATCTAGCTATTATGAATAAAACAATAAAAATGTATCTTTGCACTGGGCACTGGTGGCTCACGCCTGTCATCCTAGCTACTCAGGAGGGTGAGATCTGAGGATCATGGTTCAAAGCCAGCCCAGGCAGGAAAGTCCATGAGACATTTTTTTGGTTGTGGGGCTTGAACTCTGGGCCTGGGTGCTGTCCCTCAGTTCTTCATCTCAAGGTAGCACTCTACCACTTGAGCCACAGCGCCACTTCTGGTTGTCTGGTGGTTTATTGTAGATAAGAGTCTCACAGACTTTTCTGCCTGGGTTGGCTTTGAACCCCAACCCGCAGATCTCAGCATCCTGATTAGCTAGGATTACAGGCATGAGCCACTGGCTCCAGGCCCACAAGACTCTTATCTCTAATAAATCACCAGAAAACTGGAAGTGGCACTGTGGTTCAAGTGGTAGAGCGCTCCCCTTGAGCTGAAGAGCTGAGGCACAGAGCCCAGGCCCAGTGTTCATGCCCCACTACCAACAACAACAACAACAAAAACCTTCTGGGTTGGAATTTTTTTCCCCAGGTTGTGAGGCTTTAACTCAGGGTCTAGTGCTATCCCTGAGCTGCTTTTGCTCAAGGCCTAGTGCTCTATCACTTGGAGCCATAGTGTCACTCCTGGTTTTTGTGTGGTTAATTGGAACAAGAGTCTTATGGGGACTTTTTCTGCCCTGGCTGGCTTCAAACTGCAATCCTCAGATCTCAGCCTCCTGAGTAGCTAGGATGACAGGTGTGAGCCACCAGTGCCCAGACAGCTTCTATGGTTTTTTTTTTTTTTCTTTTTTAGTTGGTTGTGGGACTTGAACTTTGGGCCTGGCACGTTGTCCAAAAGCTCTTCAGCTCAAGGTGAGCAGTCTACCACTTGAGCCACAGTGCCATTTCTGTTTGCTGGTTTGTTGGAGATAAGTCTCACGGGGGAGGGGGAGGGGGAAGGGGTAGGAAGGGGAAACAAAGGAGGAGGCAACAATGCTTGATAAGAAATGTATTCATTACCTTGTCCATGTAGTTGTAACCCCTCTGTATTTTCACAATAATAAAAAAAAACTCTCATGGACTTTCCTGCCTGGGCTGGTTTTGAACCATGACCCTCAGATCTTAGCCTCCTAAGTAGCTATGATTATAGGCATGGGCCACCGGCACCTGGCTTAGCTTCTGTTTTTTTTTTTTTTTTTAAAGTCACCCAGTTTGTAGTAATATATCATTCTAGCCCTAAAAAAAAACAGTAAGCATGTGGAATTAGAGAACAATAAAAATATAAGGCTGGTATAATGACTCAAAATCCCAGTTACAAGGGAAGCACACAGCTAGGCATCAAGGCCACACATGCCACCCCCTACAATGTAGGCCCAAGCATGAAGCAAGGAAACTGGACTGGAAGCGAGGAGACTCAAGTGGCAGATGGCAAGACACAAGATGTAGGGTGAGGATCCTGTAGTGGGCGTGGCCTGATTGGTAGGGGCGTGGCTCAAGTGGCAGAGCATCTTTCTAGCAAATGCATAACTGAGTTCAAACCCTAGTACCACCAAAAACAAAACAAAACCTTCATTTCTCAGAAAGAAAGAAAAAAAAAAAAACCTAGCAGGGCCATATATAATGCCTACATCCTGGCCCTGCTCTGCCTTGTAGGTGGATGTGGAAAGGGGGTGGGGGTTGGGACACACAAGGGAGGAGCTTCGTATCTTTTGCAGCTGTGTGAGGCTGGCCACCTGCATTACTTCTGGGGACCTGGATGCCATGCCATTAGCACGCCACTTTCTTTTCAGAAAGAAACACACACACACAATGAAAGAGCTTAGAAAATTTATTCCTTTTGTTCTTTTCCTTTGAAATAATACAGGCAGGAGGGGGGACATGGTAAAAGTGAAGGGTAGTGGGAGCCAGGGGGTCCTCCAACCCCCCAGTACATCAGTCCTTCTTTCACTGTCCCTTAATGGGGAGTAGAGAGGGGTCCCCATGCTTTCCTAGGCTCAGCACCCAACTATAAAGTGAGAAGGAATGGGAGGAGGGGATAGGGGAGTTGGGGGTCAGGGTCGGTGGGAAAGGGGGCTTTACTCCTCTCTCTGGTAGAAAAATAGACCCCGGTTCTAGATTGATTTGTTTTTGCATAATTGGGAAGGGCATATTGTGTGGATTCATTCCTGGCTTATGACTCTTTCAAGCCTGACCATGGTGGGTTTGGGGGAGGTCCCCTTTGTGTGTCCCTGGTCTCAGGAACAGATAACTGAATCTCCGGAGGGACCTGGTTTAGAGAGCTGTCAAGGTTGGGGTGGGACAGCTTCCTGGGGGGAGAGCAGGAGGTGTGGCCTGGGTGAGAGGTGGGGCAGGCAGCAGAAATCCCTCCCCCTGCCATGAACCAGACATGGGTGGACCTCCTGGGTTGTCTAACGTGGGACCACCATCCCCCAGGCTGTAGAGAATAGGCTGCAGGACAGGGCTGGTGCCTAGAATCTGGGGGTGGGGAGAACTGCTGCTGGGGTCTAGACTAGGGATCTGAGAATTAGTGGTACAGGAGAGAAGGGGATTAAGGGCCTGGGATCCAGTGCTTGGGAGAACTAGGCTCTACCTTGTTTGCCCAGAAGTTTCAGTGGCCAGTGACTGGGGTGAAGGGATCTGGGATCCAGCAGCTGCAGTTACTGGGACCCACTTTACTGTACTGGTTGGCTTCTGT